ACCACACATATGGTTCAACATTTAACTTTTACCAATAAATGCATTTTTAAATATATTTAATCTTATCATATCTCAATCCAATAACTCCAAAAATATATAGATAATTCATATTTCATATTCAAACTGATACATAGATAAACTAACAAATAAATTCAACTCATTATTATTTTTTCAAAACTACCAAATTATCAATTCAACATCTAATACAATTTGCATTACTTTTATATCTACTATGCTCCAAACAAATTATAAATATACTATTAACTTAAAATGTAAAACACAAAAAAATAACAACATTTCAAGTTTAATATTAATATTCAAGAAATTTAAGCACTTCAAAATATTTACTTAGAGCTATACAAACCAGTTCTATAATTCTTACCCTCACTTTTATTACCTTTTTAGAAATTCTTTTAATATACCCAATTCTGCTTATTGAAACCAACTTATTAACCTTCATAAAAAATTTTTATTTTTAGAACCAACCAATCTAAACTTTTATACAGATGCCTTTATACTTAATTTACAAACAGATAACATCTCTACAGGCATTGCTTGGATTCTTGAAAAGAATATACAAATCAAATTTAATGCTTCTATAACCTATATATCTAACTTAATACAAGCTAAATTAGCAGTACTCATTTCTCTATTTCTTATCCTATCAGCCAACTATCAAATTTATATCTATATTGACAGCTTATCTACCATTTAAACACTCACAAATAAGTTATTTTACTACTATAATTCACAAACCAAACAAAATAATTAGGTTATTATATATATGCTAAACTACTTAATCAAGCTAAAAAACATTAATTACACTACATATAAAGTCAAATTATATTTAAAAAATACTTTACATAATATAACTGATTCTTTAAGCCAAACAAGATGCTAACAAAACTAAACTAAAATTCAATTTTGACCACTTCTATTTATCTACTATTTTTTCTTAGAAAGAAATTTTAATTACATACAAACTATATAAATTTTGCAAAAACCTAATCTCAATTCAAACATTTAATAAACTTCTTCAACTCAAATTATTATGAAACCTTTCTATTATAAACATAATATTATTAATTAAAATTATCAACTCTCAAAACTCTAATCTTAAACTATATTCTATCAGAAATAAAATACTTCTTAATAATCTACCAACAATGTCAAATCTAAATATTCATTACCTTCTTCTTTATTTAACTTCAAATTATTTATATTGTAATCAATATGAAAGCATTAAATATTTATTTCAATGCTCACTTCATTTTTACAATTTACAAAACACTTTTATAAATGAAATCTCAAATGTCTTAAATTCTTTAAACATTACAGAAACTACACCCAATACAATAATGCAAATTCTTATTATACAAAATGTTTTTCTTAATCTTAATATATATAACACAATACTTTTACTCATTTAGAATACAATAATTCTTAACCAATACAATCAACTTCAGCTTACTCTGAAAAAACTAACTAACAATTTTTTTATTTTCTTATCTAACTCATTACTTATCTGGTTTAACTCTACTATTTGGCAAATCTGTAATACTAAACAACATAAATAAAAATTATTACAAGGAATTATAACCTCTACTAAAAGAAAAAACAATATTAGATTACCTATTTTGTAATCTTCAAACTCAAACAATACTATTTTCACTTTTAATACTGATATAGATCTCTTTATTTTTAAAACTTTTTCTTAAAACTTTATTATACATACTTGCTTTTACTAATTAAAATAATCTTAAGGGTTCTTTTTATCTCTTTTGTAGTTAAGTTTATGCTAATTAACTTAACTAATAACAGAAAACTAAAAGATAATATCACACTAGATGTTAACAACAATAGTGTAGCTTAGAAATAATATTTTAGTTATATATCCATATCTAATTGATATATTTATGTATTTTTATTTTTTACTTGATATTATATAAATAAATAAATAATAATAATAATAATAATAATAATAAAGAGTATAAGATAGATTATTGCAATAGAAACTGCAAAAAGATTAAATTATTAAAACTAAGAGCCAAAAGTCATCAGTGCAGTTTTTTTAATGAGTTTAAATGCTAGAAGTATAATATTTGCAAAATATATATAAAATTTAGAACTGAACAAGTTTATATAAGATACCAAGACAGGTTGTTATAGTAAAATAAATAGTTATAAGTGTTTTTAGATAAATAATTTTTTAGTTAATTTTTTTGTACAATGGATTTAGTTTTTACTATTATTTTAAATATAATCTTTTTTGTTATTTCTACTAATCTTGTTTCTGACTTGTATAAAAAAATTTTTACATTTAATAGTTTAAACTTACATCATTTTTTACATAAACTCTTTCTAATTTCTATTATATTTGATTTAGTTTCATTAACTTTATTTCTACTATTTACAATATTTCTATTTTTATTAAATTGCTACTTTTTGTTATTAAACTTCTTTTTTATTTAAACTAATAAATATATAAGCATATTTGAATTTTTACTACATCATTTATTTTAAATAATCTTCAAGTACAACTTTTACTAACTTATTATTTAGCTTTTCTTTTAATCTTATTTTATCTTTTATTTTAATATCTAAAATTATTACTAAAATAAACCTTTAAACTATCTAATAGATCAAATATTATATTTTTCTTTTTTATATTTTTACTTATATTTAAATCTATATAAACCTTAATTACTCTTGTAAGTTTAAGTTACAGATTATATGTTCAAGTTTTTATTTTTTATATATAATTTAAAAGCAAGCTTTTCTTTGTAAAAACTTTATTTGAATTTCAATAAAATTAAGGCATGAACTTTACTGTTAATATTTTTAAAAAAAATTAATTTTGTTATTATTAAAAATATAAATAAAATTTTTGTTAAATAAAGATTACTTGAATTTATTACTAATGTTTAACAATTAATTAATTGAAAACTTATTTTTTTTTTTTTGTATTAAGGTGACCTCTTTGGTCTTTTGACTTTTATTAATCACTTATTGGTATTGTGGTTCAATGAACCACTACAGGAGAGCGTACAATTGGCATTGAAAACTTATTTAATATATTAAATTTTTATTAGTAATATAAATCATATTTTAAAAAATTAAAATATTAATAAATTATTTATTTTTATATAAATTAAATCTAAATCAAAACTAAATAACAAAAAAGATTATTTTGAAAATAAAGTATAAATGTTTTATATGCAGTTGCTAATTAACTAATTTTGTCAAAACCTTTTCATTAAGACTAAACCATTCACAATGAATTTTACTAAATTATTTTATAATATTTCATGCTTTATAACTTTTGAATTTAATTTATTTATATAAATTTTATATTTATTTTATTTAGGATCTAAATCTAAAAATCATCTGCATTAAAAAAAGTAGAATACTAAAATATCAACATCAAGATTTTGTGAAATCATATTACCATTAGTGGCTCAACTCGGCCTGAGGTATAATGGCTTTTTAGAAATAAAGGATCAACTCAATTTAGTAAATGTTAGCTATAAGCTGAGCCAAGCTAAGCCATTCACATCACTAATTGGACCCTATATAAACTACACCAAAATTTTATGGACGTGATATTTTTGTAGCACAAACCAATCATATTTCAAGATCAAGTGTGACAAAAAAAGTCAAACCAAATGTTTGTTCCGCCAAAATCGGCTGTAACTCAAAAATCAGCATAGAAACCACCTTTAATGACATAACAAAAGACTTTCCTTGCGCGATTTTACTATACTTTATAAAATCTAACCAAATAAAAACGCTAACCCTAACTTAAACGAACTTGAAGATTTTTTGGTATGTCACAAATACGGTCACGTGCCCGTAAAATTTTGGTGACTGGAGAAGCCGTCAACAAAAATAAGGCAAATTGACATTTTTAAAAAAAACAATACCTTAACTTCCACGGCTCATATCTTGATGGATTTTGAAGTTATCTTAATGATTTAATAGTCAAAAGGAAGCTTACAATCCAAGCCTTCTTTTGAATATTAAATCATCAAGATAGCCACAAGATTTAACGAGATATGAGCTATGAAAGTTAAGGTATTGATTTTGTTTAAAATGTCAATTTGCATAAAAACAAAATTTTGGCGAAGTGTAAACTTGGTATATAATCGATGATACCTTGTGATCCAATCGTCTCATCAAGACAAATCTGAGTGGTATAAAAATTATTCGATTCCAATAACAGACCACGAGATATTCAGATTTGTATCACAGTTAAATTTATAATATTCGGTTAAATAATTTTTTTATAGAAGTGTGGAGTACGTACGTACATAGCAAAGATGGGGTATAAATAGCAATTTCCTATTTATATACTATATATGGAATTTTAATAACGTTCACGTACATAGTGCAATGCGTATCAATCGGAGTAACAGTTCCCGCAAATAATTTTATTTTACATATACAATGCCCTAATTTCTCCCCAAATTTTACTATCAGAGTACTGAAAATTTGACAATTACTCCGATAAGTGAATCATTAGTACAGCTAATCAGTTCTTGGAAAAGAAATTAATAAATCCAAATTTTATAACACTATGCTTCAATTTATAATTACATACACTATTAGATACATATCCATATTTTGAATCCATATATGGTACATATACCAAACACAACACGAATTTATGAAATTGGTCCCTTTATCGTTATTTAGAAACCTAAATCTATTGCTTCTTCATATTATTTTAAACTTATAGAATTAAAAAATAGATAATTTTAACCAAAACCGGGATTTATAGTTGTTCACACAAACTCTATAACAAGCAAAAATTCTTTATCACTTTGTTTTCATCCTAACTTCGGAAATTTACGTCTCTTCTCTGGACTGATGTTTCGAAAATGGTGTTATAGCTTCTGAAGAGTTTTCAGGAAATAGATAAGTTTTTGTTTGTGGAAACAGCCATAAATAATTTCGAAATCCAAACAAAACTAGAATATTTCAGCCGAAAGTTTAGCATCATGATAAATAATATCCCAAGATATAAGGACTTAAATTTATGGATATGTTCCAAGAATTTTACTAAACTCACGGATAGTAAATCATACGTATAAACATATTTAACATATGATCAACCTATATTTGACGGACAAACTTTAAAACTTCCATCATTGTTGATTTGAGTAACTGAACTCTCACGTTAATGATCAATTACGCAACCGGATTAAAAAATAACAAATACATCAAAAATGTAATATCTGCGTACCCCGCTTTACTACATTAAAGGGAAAAACAAAAAAAAAAAACATTTTCAAATCATTTTATTGATGAAATGAATTTTTTTTTTTTAGAAACAGCATTTGACCCCAACGGACTTTACTTTTAAGGGAATAAAATAATCACGCCTATTATTTAGAATGTGATAAGGCAAAAAAATAAAGACATTTTCAAATCATTTTATTAATCAATGAACGATTTTTTTTTTTTTTTTGGAAATGGCATTGACTTAATGGATTTTACTTTAAAGGAATAAAATAATAAACTTCTATTACTTAGAAAGTGATAAGGCAATAAAAAAGTATAAAACCGGGTAGATTTTTTCAGCCATTTTCTTTTCAATTACAGCACGATAATTTAAAGCATTACCAAGAAAAATAAAATAAAGAGTAAAAAACTAAAATAAAATAACAAAAGCAATGCATAGATTCTTCGTTTTTATTATATTACTGACTCTCGTCACCTTTGCCACATCCTTTCCACATTATCTTTTTCGACGAGATCCACTATCAGGGTATACTCAATGTAGCGGCACATTCCCGAACACAGTTACCTCTTTCTCTTTTACCCCGAACCCTGTAGTTGCCGGACAAAATGTTACATACACAGCCTCTGTAGTGAACACAGTAACAATCCAACAGGGGGCAACATTAAATGTTACAGGATCTAATCAACAACAAGTAGCGTTTAACGAAGTTACAGATTTTTGTAAAGAATGGATTGAAGTAAGTGGTTATAAGTGTCCTCTTGAGCCCGGAAACTATACATACGTTGTTTCCGAGTACATTATGCCTACTCCAAATGACCCGAAGAACACCACAATTGATTTTGATCTGAGAGTTGAAAGTATGTTCTATCTTTTTGAGTCTTACTATTTTTTGTTAAAGCAATCACTAATATTCTTATATTTAATTTAGTTGCTAATCCTGGGGATCCTGAAATTCTCCTCTCTTGTATGGAAGGAAAATATCCTATTTATTTTCCGTAAATAATAACTAGATGAACGGGCTTCGTTAATTTCTGGAATAATAAATTAGTTTTTATGTATCTAATGACTAATGATAATTGCGGCATTTTATCACCAGTTTAGCAAGAATAGTCTTATGTCGCTTCATCTTTATCATTATCAGTATTATTAATATTACGTTTTTAATCATGTAACTTTGTTTTATATTTCAATGTCTGTATATATATTATTGGTATAACACTGAATAAAACTATATTAATTATCATCATATCTTGTTGATTTTATTAAGGTATAAGTGCTGTATTCTGACAATAATAAACTCAATCGAATTCGACAACATAGGCCTACACAACTATTTTGTTCGTGGTCCAACATACAACTAATACATGCATACATTTTTACAATGCTGCGTGATCGTACTCACACAAGAGTGGTAAATCAATTACCGTAATTAATTAAAACTGTCGGTAGACTACAAAATTTGATAGGATACCATTTTTCTGAAATACCATTTCACCGAAGTTGTAATACTGAAACCGAAAATCAATTAACCGATAGGTTTATTTCACTGACAAGTTTTTTAAAAATTGCACTAATCGATAATGACCAGAATTACTTTGTCGGTGAAATAAATTGCCAGTGAAGTAACAGATCTATTTCTGTCCTGTTAGTAAAATGGTATTTCAGAAAAATGGATTTCGAGAAAGTGAGCAACAACCTTTTTTACAGGGACTCAAATATACCACTTGAAATTACATGATTAGCAAACACGAAATTAACACAATATATGGTCACATTATGTACAAGATTTAATATCGCTCAAAAAATTTAAGTTTGTTAATAGTCAATCACTTCGGGCAGAATCAAGAAATAAAGTATCCTGCAGCACAAATTTTAGTTTGACAATACACATCAAACATTTTTAAATGTACAGTACTTTATCAAATCTATCCATAGTGAACTTTTTATGAAAATATTAAAATACAAGCCAAAAAAAACTTGTGAAAATAGACGAGAGAAATTTAAAATATTACAATTCGGTTAATTACTAAATAGCCATCAATATTTAAGTTTCACTTTACAAATACACATATTTTTTCAACAAAATAAATTTATGAATTTATTATTATATTATACAGTATGTAAATTTATATAAATAACA